GTGAGCTATTCGGAAGATCTAATACATGTTTTAAAACAAATCCGGACAGCCACATCTGGTAAATATGTGATTAATTAAGTCGATTAGAAATTGAGTTTTATTATATTTGTTATTGTGATTTTACGTACGACAAGCTGATCTCACCATTTTGTAATATGTGATTGATTTGATCGATTAAACTAAGCCTGCGCCATGATTTTTCTAGGGAAAAATTACCAAAAAAGTCCTAAACCTTTTGCAGTTGTACTAATTCAGTCCTAAATCTTTTTTTTGGCCAATTCAGTCCTAAACCTTTTGCAAACCAGCCAATTCAATCCTTTTAGCCGACCGGCGCTGACGTGGCCGCCAGTCGGCTGACGTGCCGCGCGGCCGGCGTCCACGTGGCAATATTTTAATATTTTTTTTTATTATTTTTGATTTTTTTCCTTTTTTTTTTTTTCTTTTCCTTCTCCTCCCTGGCCTATCCGGCTAGGGGGGAGGCTCACCGGCGAGGGCCCAGCTCCGGCGAGGCGAGCTGGGCCCTTGCCGCCGCTGGGCGAGCTGGGCCCTCGCCGTCGCTGGGCGAGCTCCGCCTCGCTGGAGCTGGGCGAGGCTCGCCCACCGGCGGCGAGGGCCTAGCTCGCCATGGCGGGCGAGCTCCACCCTCGCCCGGATCCGGCGAGGCGGGGCTTGCCTCGCCATGGCGAGCTCCACCTCGCCGAGATCTAGGCGAGGCGGAGCTCGCCCAGCCATGGCGAGCTCGCCCAACTCCGACGAGGCGAAGCTCGCCTTGGCTAGGCAAACTCCGCCCATGCCCAGCGACGGCGAGGGCCCAGCTCGCCTCGCCGGAGCTGGGCCCTCGCCGGTGAGCCTCCCCCCTGGCCGGACAGGCCAGTGGGGAGAAGGAAAAGAAAAAAGGAAAAAAAAATCGAAAATAATAAAAAAATATTAAAATATTGCCACGTGGACGTCGGCCGGCGCCACGTCAGCCGGCCGGCGGCCACATCAATGCTGGCCGGGCAAAAGGACTGAATTGGCTGGTTTGCAAAAGGTTTATGACTAAATTGGCAAAAAAAAAAGGTTTATGACTGAATTGGCACAACTGCAAAAGGTTTAGGACTTTTTTGGTAATTTTCCCATTTTTCTAGTAACATGTACTCTAAACAACGACATGGGAGAAATTGTCCAATCAATGCATAGTCTCTTGACCTAAACCTAATGTATGGATTTTATATTGAAATTTTATGTGATGGTCTAATACTAAATTAGCAAAATTAAAAAGTTTAGGATTAAATTAATATATGTATAATTAGAGGTGTCAGAACCAAACCGAAAAATCGAATCGAGATACGAACCGAATTGACCTGAACCGAACCGAAAATTTAGTGCATTTTGGTTCGGTTCGGTTTTTAGTTCGGATAATGAAAGCTAACCATTATTTTTTTTTCAATTTGGTTTATTTTGGTTCGGTTCGGTTCGATTATGTTTAGATCGAACCGAACTGAAAAAATAACTTCGTTTTTTACCCTAAAAAAGCGAATCCCCTCTCTCTGGCTCAAATTCCCTCTCTTTCCACTGCTACAATGAATCGCCGCCATGATCGCAACCCTTTCAACGAGGAAGAAGAGGTCAATCCATTCTTGGTGAGTGCTCTCTTTCCCCCTCTCTCTCTCTCTCTCCCCTCTCCCCCTCGGACAGTTTTGCGCTTATTTCTGCACTTCGGTTGCTACTCTTATTCGAGTTGGGTCTTCAAGATATCTGAGCGGCGGTTGGCAGAGGGCGTCAATTTGTGATAAGCGGGGTGAGGGGACGAGCGATTGGACAAGCGACGAGCTGCGTTGGGCGATTAGCGTTGGCGTCGGGCAGCCACGCCGCGAGCAACGGCTGGGGGGGAGCAGACGGGGAGCAGAGTCAGCAGTTAGTGGCAGTGGGTCTGCAGGAATGGACAACAAATGGACAAGCGACGAGCTGAAGGAGACGGCAGACAGCGTTGGCCGACCCGCGAGCAGTGGCTGGACGGGCGGCCACCCCGCAAGGAGCTGCTGGGGGGAGTGGCCAACCACGCCACTAGCAGTGGCAGGGGGAGCGGTGGGCGGCCATGCCGTGAGCAGAGGCCGGGGGGGGCAGCAGACGGCGAGCAGTGACGGCGGCCATGCCGCAAGGAGCGGCGCCTACGGTTGGGACTCCATGGCTGGCGGCTAGGGAATTAGTATAGTTTTATATTTAAATTCCATATATGAAAATATATATTTTGTATTTATATTTATTACATCTTTTAGGTATATTAGTATAGTTTACTATTTAATAAGATTTTATTCGAGAATGATGGAAGGGAAAAAAGAAATAAAAAAGAAAAGAATTAAAAAAAGAGAGGAAAAAATAATTAAAAAAAATATGCAAATACAAATGAAATAGGCAAGAGTGTTGTAAGAGATTCTTACCATCTCCGTTTGTGCAATTTTTAAGTTTATTCACATTGATATGTCATTCATAGCAAATAGTGGACATGATAAGATTGAAATTATCAGACTTTATTTCCGTGATTCATCAAATAATGGCTATTATGTAGCAAATCATTTCAATTTTATATCATATCCTATCCAATCCTATTTCGGTTAGAAATTCAGATGACCAAATGCAGCCGTAGTGTTGATTGCATATTCTCAGACATGCCATTTTGCTCTTTGGGCCAACCGGGCCTAGGCAAAATCGGGCCTCCAAATCAAATGCTTTTCGAAATGCTGGCCCGAAATAAAGAAGAAAACCAAAATTTCCCAACGAAGGTTCTTGGGAGGATCCTCCTTATGCGCAGGAAATAATCTTTTGGTAATAAGTATTTAGAAATAATTACCCTTTTGCAAATGGATCCTGCTGTGTATTGTAATGTGACTTTCAATGAGATTAACAATGTAGGGATGCCAATTATGACATAATATCTAACTTTTGACTCATTTCTGACAGATAATAATATTAAGAGATGAAAAAAAAACATCCATCGTCACGAAAAACAAGATTATGCAACAAAGCTAATAAATGAACATAATGAAGTTACCCATCATTATATATAGAAGGAAGGAACATATGTTCAGACGGTTCACCTGACTGCACATACTTCGAAAATGTGATGACTTTTGTGATTGAGAAGTTGTGTACTGCACATCATGACAAAATATTTGGTCGTATTTCATGGATAAACAGCGAAAAATAGTATGCGTGGCCAAGTTAAAACCTTAAACCACAATGCTAGATTTATTAAAACTAATTTAAAAAGCAATTTTACTAAGAGATATGTTAGATTGTGAGCAATCCGCTTAATAATTGGTCATATAAAAAAAATCTCCAATAGCCTGATATGCCATTTAACAAATTAATTGTATAAAATTGTCTTAATAAATCTAGTATTTTCCTAAAACAAAACCCCCGTGGAGTTGGCTTTGCAGTGTAGAATTTGGCTTGTTTATATGAATTAGATGTACAGAACAAACTCGATTCCCTGCACGGACTATGGATTCCCATTATTAAAACGGATTTTTTAGTACTTGAAAAAGAAAATGGATAAGTGTACCGGAAGTCCTAAAACTTGTCACGAAAGTACAATTGAGTCTTAAAACTTTCTAAAAATGTAATCAAGTCCTAAAACTTATCACGAAAATGCAATCATGTCCTTAAACTTTTAAAAAATGCAATAAAGTGCTAAAACTTATCACGAAAGTGCAATTTAGTATTAAAACTTATCACGAAAGTACAATCAAATTGGTTTAATTAGGAGGACTTGCTTAGACCAATTTGACAATTTTTAGAACTTGATTGCATTTTATGAAAGTTTTAGGACTGAATTGCACCTTGGTGCAAATTTTAGGACTTAATTGAATTTTTTGAAAGTTTTATGACTCAATTACACTTTTATGATAAGTTTTAAGACTTTTAATGCACTTATCCCAAAAGAAAATATCAAAACCGAGAGATGGTATCAGGAATGAAAAGAGTGCTTAGACACGGGGGAAGCCAATCTAAGAAGCTAGAATAATTGTGCGTGCGTAACATGAAAAATGAAAAATCGTCCTATATAAGTCTTGGGGAGACTTGTGGGTAGTTTAGGAGGACAAGTTAGCTTATATAGTATTTACCAAATCAATTAAAGTCCAAAAAAGTTTCTTGCCAAAAAAAGAGAAAAGAAGAAAAAACTTCATCATAATTGGTTGGCGGAATTTCAAAAGATTTTGTATTAATTTACTCTAACTTTTACCATCTCAAGCATTAGTTCGAAGTTATAGAACTCTTCCTCTATCTCTCATACACACTTGGTTAAATATAGGATGGTGTCCGCTGTATAAATTCTTCTTTACAATAATAATTGGAGTTACCCCAGAAGGGGTCAATAAAGCTAAAGTTGTAGTTCCCTAAAAGAGGGTTACAGGCGATGGGCAAAACCGTACAAAAATGTCGAAATTGGTCGTAAACTCTCATTACAGACGGCTTGTAGATCATCGACGGTCGTTGGTGAGGGTTTTGCCAAACCTGTCGCCAAAAACGTTGGGGACGGGTTTTATTGCTTGTTCCTAGAGGAAATCAATTATATGCTCGTACCGTCAACTCCATGATAAAAAGATTATTAGAGATAATATAATTAAATACCATGACCAACTAACTAAAAAGTTATATCAATCAATCAAAAAGATAAGAAGACACAACTGCAACAAATCTATTCTTGATTTCGCAAGAGAAAGTGCGTTCACAAAGCAAATAGATAATCTTTGCCTCGAGCTATAACACTACAAAAAAAAATAGATTTTAGCGACGAATTTTGTCACGAAAAAAATGGGAAAATTCGTCTCTAAACGAATTTGCGACGAAAAAAATTTCGTCGCCAATTCGGCATCGCAAAATTTAGCGACGAAAAATTTCAATTTTCGTCGCTAAATTTTCGTGACAAAATCCCGTCGCTAAATTTGTCTTCCAAGAACATCAATTCACAGGATCAAACCCATGAATACTGAAAAGCACCAAAATATGCAAGAAAGTCAAAGAAAGCGAAGCAAACCCACATTCCATTAATGCCCAGAGATGTACATCTACATAACAACGATTCAAAGTCTCCATAATCAAGCCTACAACCAAACACCCTCCAACATGACAAAGATCTAACCACATTCCCCTTTATAACTAAGCCCTCTCTCCCCGGATCCTCCTGGCGAGCTGGATGTCCTTGGGCATGATCGTGACCCGCTCGGCGTGGATGGCGCACAGGTTGGTGTCCTCGAACGGCCGCCCAACGAGGTACGCCTCTGCCACCTCCTGGAGGGCGGCGACGGCGCTGCTCTGGAACCGGAGGTCGGTCTTGAAGTCCTGGGCGATCTCCTGCACCAGCCGCTGGAAGGGCAACTTCCAGATCAGCAGCTCCGTGCTCTTCTGGTGCTTCCGTATCTCCCTCAGCGCCACCGTCCTGGGCCTGAACGTGTGCGGCTTCTTCACGCCGCCGGTCGCCGGGGCCGACTTCCGGGCCACCTTGGTGGCCAGCTGCTTCCGCGGGGCCTTGCCGCCGGTGGACTTCCGGGCCGTCTGCTTCGTGCGAGCCATGCCGATCAGCAAATTCATTAGCGACGAATATATTTTTCGTCGCAAATTAGCGACGAATTTAATTTTCATCGCAAATTCCGTCGCTAATTAGCAACAAATTTTTTTTTCGTCGCAAATTCCGTCGCTAATTTGCGACGAATTTTTTTCGTCGCAAATTAGCGACGAATTTAATTTTCGTAGCAAATTCCGTCGCTAATTTGCGACGAATTTTTTTCGTCGCAAATTAGCGACGAATTTAATTTTCGTCGCAAAATCCGTCGATAATTTGCAACGAATTTTTTTTTCGTCTCAAATTAGTGACGAATTTAATTTTCGTCGCTAATTTGTGACGAATAATTTTTCGTCGCAAATTAGAGACGAATTTAGTTTTCGTCATAAATTCCATCGCAAATTAGCGACGAATAATTTTTCGTCGCTAATTTTTCGTGGCTAAATCCTTATTTTTTTTGTAGTGTAAATATTGTTAAAGTATACAAAGACTTAACTTTTTTTTTTCTTTGGTCGAACTGATCGCTTTCATTTCTTCAACTAACGATTTTCGAACAACAAAGAAGGGCTTGTGAACGAAGGATCGCTCAAAAGGGTTGAGGTGGGTTAGACAGCTAATCACAAAGGGAGAGCTTCCTATTCACTGATTGGCCTCACGGTAACGGTGGGCAACTTGGATTTCACGGAGATGGGCCAGATAAGATCAGTGCCCCAGAGAAAGCCTCTCAAAGATGGAGCACCTATAGCCTCCAAGTATAGTTTTAACAACACCGAAACACAACTAGCTTCACAAGTGAAGAAATGTGTAGCCTAGTGGGTTAGATAACGAAAACTTCCATTTGATTATTTAGTCTAGACAAGAGAAGTCGTATCGAGCCTCATAGAAGCACAATAATGTTAAAATGCACCATATTACAGTGGATCAACATATGATTAAGCCTCAACTAGTAAAAAAAATCTTAGAAGAATTATAATAATTAAGATGGATAACATGAGTAGAGTCTTATTTTAAATGCACACAACTCCCTTTGAGCAATTAACTGCTTATTCTCCAAATACATAGATTTTTGCAATGGTTCATAAAAAATCATGGTGGAAGGCCAAGCAATCTCACCATGAGACCATCCATATAGTAAGATTTTACTTACGCCGCCATTCACCGGGGGTACAATTCAGTAACCGTCATATCACTAGTTGACGAAGGCATAGTCCTACTGGTAGATTGATCCGATTCAAGCTCTTGCATTGGGATGCTCGGTCCCTGTGATCTACTTTGGACAAAGAAGGCCGGATGTCGAGGCTGTGGCGGGTCAAAGTAATTGCTGCTGAGCATGAGAACTACGGTTGCCATGGCGGGTCTAATAGCCGGATCTTCCTGAATGCACAGTAAGCCAATGTGCAAGCATCGAAGTACTTCATCTCTTGAATATGAATCTGCGATAGCCAGGTCCAACACGTTCAAGGGCGTGCCATCTCTCCATTGATTCCACACCTGCAAGAATAATTCCGGAAAATCTTCACAAAATTGCGGCATTAATTCAGTGACTCATCATGCAAGACATCTGAATCTTGCAAAAAACCATATATGACTAAGGAACAGAACCATAAATATTTCTGTAGGCCAAAGGACTAAGTTTTTACAAAGGAATTTCAATTTCATTGAACCAAATTTACAAAGAGTGCGGTGTGAATATTTGCCGTAGTAGCACAACGAAACTTACATAACTAGCAAGATATTCACCCCTATCCAATTGGTGGTAGATGTTATTCTTCTTGCCGCAAATGATCTCTATAAGTAGTACACCGAAACTATAAACATCAGATTTCACCGAGAACTCTCCATGCATTGCATATTCAGGAGACATGTAACCACTGCAAAACCGAATATTAGCCACATGTACATTGCATATTTAGATGCAGATCAATGAGCATCCTTAAATAGATAAAATGAGCAAGTACGTCTTCCAATTACAAAGTCATCTATTCAAGACCTAAGACTTACAAAGTCCCCACGATTTTATTTGTGCTAGCCTGAGTTTGATCGACTCCAAAAATCCTTGCCGTGCCAAAATCTGAAATCTTCGGGTTCATTTCACTGTCTAACAAGATATTGCTACATTTTAGGTCTCGATGGATGATCCGGAGACGAGAATCTTCATGTAGGTAGAGCAATCCTCGAGCGATTCCAGATACTATTTTAAAACGTAATGGCCAATCCAATTGACCGCTTTTTTGGGGATCTGCATCGTTGCACCAAAACTCGTTATGTGCTAGCATGTGGCACCTATTCAAAAACTCAAGGCGAATATATTTACTCTCATCGATCAAAGGTGGCTTAACCAAAAACTATAAGTTGAAAGAACTGAAAACTTCTTAATTTCAAGTTTTCCACAACTAGTAAAAGCTCGAACATTTGATTTCAAGCAAATGTACATAAGAAAGTCAAATTGCAGCATACCAAATAAGAAGTAATCAAGGCTTTTATTTGGCACAAACTCGTAGGCGAGTATCTTTTCGTCTCCCTCCAAGCAAAATCCGAGCAGTCGTACAAGGTTTCTGTGTTGAAGCTTCGCAACCAATAGAACTTCGTTTTTGAATTCTTCATCACCCTGTCTTGAGCTTTGAGATAGCCTCTTCACCGCTATTTGCTGTCCATCAGGAAGGCTACCCTAAAGTGTTTTTTGCATTCATTGTTTAATTCCTTAACACAACTTAAAAACTAACATAAAGAAGCGTTACATGTTTCTTTCTTTTTCGGCACCATTATGTTCAATTCACATGTAAAACATTCTTGATTGTTTCTAACTACTATGTAATACGTACCTGGAAAACTTCACCAAATCCACCTTCACCCAACTTGTTTTCTGGAGAGAAATCATTTGTCGCGGCTTGTATTGTAGCCAAGTCAAATTGCAAGGACTCCGCGGTGGTAAGTTCATTCGCACCTGCATTACCAAAAAACGTAAGTTGATTATCAAATTATATCGACATTGGCTCCTAGTGGCGTTTATACAGTTGCTAGTGCTTGGGAACATTATCACAATGAAGAGCACCGGATTAGGCTGGCATGGTTGTCTCCTTACCCCAATGAAATCTTTCCCCTCTTGATTGGTCATGAAGAAAAACAATATCATTAATACTGAAGGTAGTGCTAGGTCTGTTAATTGCGGTGCAGATGCTACCTATGGTTGGAGGGAATTGCTAAACGTTAGGAGTATTTTGAGGGCTCATTATGTGGTTTTTCATGTCGAAGCTATATCCCCCTGGCATGACTCATGGCATCCTGATGGGATCTTGCTGGATGTATGCCCGAGGAGAGTAGTTTAAGATGCTGCTCTTCTTTGAACTGCAAAAGTAGCTGATATGATTTGTGCTCTGAATGGAAAAAGGCCCAATGCGAGGTCTGAAGTCTTGGTATCAATCCAGACAGCTGTTTGTGGTGTAATTTGTCCAAAGTCTTCTTTGGAAGACCAAGACACTTGCGCTGCTGCTTCTTGTGACATTCTTACCTCTGCTTCAGCTTGGGAGATTGTGAGGAAAAGAGTCACAAGAGTTGAATGGTATGGGCTGATTTGATTTTCATCTAATTTGCTGAGGTTTGGATTCATACTTTGGTTGGCGATACAAGATAAGCTGCCTATATTTCAAGGAATTGACAAATAGTCTTCTAGTCATGGCCAAACTCTCTGTTTTTTGCGTCATGAAAGCATTGAGATTAGATCCCATTTGTTCTTTGGATGCAGTTTCTCTAAGCAAGCCTGGATGAGTGCCCTTCACTTTTGTTTTCCTAATAATGATATTAGTGATTGGGAGTTTGAATTGTCCTGATGCAGCAGGCTATGACAGGGAGATATTTTCATAGGTGCTCGGTAAAATTTTTGTAGAATTGCTGCATCTATTTATCTAGAAGGCCAGGAATGAACTGTTACATTCCCAAAGTATTCCTCTTATTGATGGCATTATGATTGCTTGTGCAGTCAAGTATAGTTTTGAAGGTTTAAAGAGCATGAGGATCTCATCTTTGTCCTTGATCTTTTCCATTATATATGCTATATTTATATCAAACGGACTCTTAATTCGTATGATTGACATATTCGATTCCTTAAGGAAAATGAAGAAATTTCATAATATGCTCATATATGGCGTAGATAGCTTACGAAAAAATAAAGGCAAATAATCGATTTACCGCTTTTTCCTTGGATGACTCCATCTGTCTTCTTTCCCTTTCTTCGAAGCAAACAACAAGTGAAAAAGAGAAGGACCATAACACCTCCAACAGGAACGGTAATGGCGATGGTTATCACGGTAGATTTGTTGCTTTTTCCTGCACAGGTACCATTTTGTATATGAGACGATTCCCAAACTAATCTAAAAGCTTTCTAGATGAAAGCGTGCGTAACATATAAACTGACGCGCGAAGATTGGCAATTTGACACGCAAGAAGGGGCCATGAGAGATCTAAATCGAGAGGCTTAAACGAGAAAGCCTGAACATCAATTGCAATTCCAGCATTTTAAGTTTCTGTTTTTGGTAAATTGATGGGGCAGAAGACGAACAAATGAAGAATATTAAGAAGCAAAAAAATTTCTAGGATGAACAGCCCATGTTAAATCACCTACTAAGTTCGGCAATAGGGAATTATTGCCGCTGCTGCTGCACACGAGCCCTTGGGTTTAAATCCCTCTAAAAAACTGTTATTTAATTGTATGCAAGCTAATTTAATCCTAAATTTTTCAAGATCTCTCATGACAACTTGTGAATATATCAACCACCGCCACAAAGAAGTCTAATTTCGGTAAACCCCACACACCAAGCTAGGGAAACTTACCCAATTAGTCCTAAATCAATTGTACACAAGCTAAATCAATGAAAGGAAATTCGAATGTAGTCATTCCAATCAGTTTTTGTGAGAAAATCGCTGATATGGCCGTCCATTCATTGCTAGCCGTCCTATGTGACACATTGCCACGGCAATGATTTTTGACAAAAAGTGGCCGGAATGACTATATTAAAATCTTACGCAAAGTTTTGACATTCATATAGTAGGTTCAAGAGTGATTGGACAACTTTGTTTCCATTAATGGCCTTGTTGTTGCAGGCACAGCCTCTGGGCATATGTTTCCCATACGGTATTTCTTGTTCGGCTGATTTAAGTTCGACAATTTGTCTTTACCAATTTTCTTTTTCCTATTAGCAGAGATCACCACATGGTTGATATGAATTGCAACTCTAGATCAATTTAGATGTCGATCTACTTCTCCTATTGTTAAAAACCTTTGTGTTTATATCAATTCAGAAATGATGGTGACTAAATGAGGAGAATTAATGAACATCTGCTAATGATTCATTACCCTTCGCCTAAACTCACTTTATTATTAATTTAAAGATCTCACATGACAGCTTCTGATGAATGGACACCACAACTTTTGATTCAATGAACTCTGATAGCTGACTATTAGCCATGCACATGCGTCAAAGATAGAGATATGGGCCCTACCGTTCTTTTACTGAAAATATGGAAATATTCCGCAACTTCATTTTGGCAAAAATGTATCTATCCAACGTACTGACCCTAAAATAAATTAGATGGTCTATGGAGCATAAAAACTAAATTCATTTCCAGACTTAATCGTTTAAATCTAACGTGAAATCGCATAATCAACAAATCAGATGATCTTAATCCACCTCAATTAAAGGAAAAAAAAACAAAACGCCACGATACCTAATTCTTGAACAAGAGCCAACGTACCTGGCGGTGGAGGAGGAGGCGGCGGAGGCGGCGGTGGCAGCGGCGGCGCAAGTGGCTCGCCGACCGGGTCGAAGAACTGATAGATCTCGTACCGAAACTGGCAACTAGGCGCCATGATCGTCCATCCCGCCTTCCCAAGACAGCAATCCGTGATGCTCCCGACAACTATCTCCAGGCAGTCGATGCATTGCTGCCTGGTCAAGTCCGGTGTGCACTGCGCCATCGCAAAGATCGTGTCCGGCCCCACTGACACGTTCCTCGTAGCAAACTTCCTCAGTGAGCCGCCGCCAGCTGCCTCGTCCTGCAGACCTTCCACCTGTGTCGCCAGCTTGTTCGTAACCTGGATCGAGACGTTGTTCACTTTGTACAGCGCGTAGATGGGCTCGATCACGACTGTGCCAAAGATCGAGGCGTTTGAGTACCGGACGGTGCACTTCTCGCTGTAGAGCACCGCCTCCTTCTCGTGGGGGCAGAAACGGCTGATTTCAATGGCTGACCCACTGAGGCAGGTGCGGCAGCTCTCGGCGGTGAGGTCGCTGCGGCAGGAGCCGACGACGTAGAGGGTTTGGGAGGTGTCGGAGACGGCGGCGGAGTCACTGAAGAATCCGTAGGAGAAGGACAAAGAGTTGGTGGTGGAGATGGAGGAGAGGACGTTGGTGAGGGTCTTGATGTAGTCTCTGTCGGCGTCGCTGGTCGAACCACAGAAAGGCGCTGGGAAGAAACCTTCGGCGTTAATGGTGGAAACAAAGGAAAAAGAAGCAAGAGAGGGAGATTTAGAGGATCCATCTATTTTTGGCTGTGTTCGTTTTGCGAAAAATGTTTTCATATTTTCCAGATTTTCAAGTGTTTGAGGGCGAAAAATAAACTACTCGCGAAAAACATTTTCCCTCAACGAGTGAAAACAAGAAAAAAAGTGAGGAAAATATTTTCCTCTTTTCAAAAGAGGAAAACATTTTATGCCGGCTTCCTTCTTTCGCCCTCGGCAGCCGGCAGCCGAACACCAAAAAATTATGTCATTTTTCAGAAAAATAACTTCCTAAAAAATATTTGTTAGAAGCGTAATATTTTTCGCGAAACGAACAAACCTTAGTCTTTTTTTGGTTTCTTTGGGGTCTTTCTTTGATTAATGTGGACATATAGCTTGTGTAGCTCCTGGACAAGTTCGCTTCGTGGAAATCTGTTTCGTCCACGACTTCTATTTGGGGATGGGCTTTGAATATTCAGACTAATGAAGTCATTGAATCTTTTCTCTTTCTTCGCCAGAAAACCACTGATTGACGAGACAGAAATGGAAAGGTTAATTACCAAATGTTGTTTGAAAAAAAAAAATTACCAAATGTTGTCGACCAATCACTCGGCACAAATGTTAGGGAAGAAGGAATAAAAAAAATAAAAAAAAGGATTTTCTTTCATCTAACCGATCACTCAGCACAAATGTTATCGATATCTTTTTCTGTGAAAACCAAAAGATTTATGGCAATTAATGCTCCGTGATTAATTGGATGGATAGGCAGAGCAATACCTTCTAAATCAAGATCTTGATTCAAAAGCGAAAGAGGAGACTTAGGAAAAAAAAACGAGTATGCTAGAAATAAAGAGAATTAAAAAAGGGTAAAAATTAATACATGTGGGAGCTTAATGTATAGCTTTCCTGTGTGGAATCAAAAGTAATTTATTCCTTCTACTCATAATTTTCCTTCAAAATTTGAAGATGCAAAAGAACACTTTCAAGTTTCGGAAGATTATGGAAATCAGATATAATTCTAAATATCAGTATTTGTATCAAAATATATCTTACATGTTCGTGCTAAAAAAGTCAAAACTGTGTGAATCACAAAACCTACAGGTAATAAAAAAGTCAAAAGTTGAATTCATTCCAAAAGAAAAATGAAAAGAAGTAAAGCTTAGAATTAAACCAGAGAAAAAATATGAAAAATCTACATCATCAATCAAATATTAGGAGTACAGCGAAAGAGAATAAGACTCTGAAAAGCCCCTAGAATACATCCCAAAACTTGATCTATCACCGATGTGTAACATAATTAGTTTCGCAAAACAAATAAAAACAATACGATAGATGTTTCTTGTATAGAGGAAGACAAATAATGTAACATATACTTCATGCTCTTTTAACAAATTATGTTACACATAATTTGTTAAAAAAATTCAATCGAAGAATTTGAACTATCAAGTAACATAATTAGTTTCGCAAAACAAATAAATACAATACGATAGATGTTTCTTGTATAGAGGAAGACAAATAATAAAAACAAACGCGTACCGCTAGGAGCAGGAGGAGGAGACGGAGACGCAGCGGCTGGGGGCGGAGGAGATGGAATCTGGGGCGGCGGAGGGGCCGGGGCCGCCACGGCCGAGGCATTATAAAAGGGGTACACCTCAAATCTCACGCTGCAGCTCGGAGTGAACGTCCTCCCACCTTGCTTCCCCTGGGGAAGGCCCGCAATCGCCGCCCGGAGGCATGTGTTGCAGTCCGACGCTGTCAAGTCCGGCGTGCACTGCGCAAGAGTGTACAGCTGCTGCAGGCTCGTGAAGTTCGTCTCTGCGACCGCGACTTTCTTCCCCGATTCGCTGTCGGAAGTTGTCGTGGCGATGTCGTCCATGGTCTGTCCCAGGACTTGCGTGAACCGGGTTGGATCGGAGATGTTCCCGGTGTTGTACATCATGAAAGCAGGCCCTTGTTCCATGACCGAGTAGATGGACGCGTTGGAGTACCTCAACATGCACTCGTCGTACCAGATCACAGAGACCCGCTGGTTGGGGCATCTTTGCAGGATGTCCTGTGTTCCGGTGGCCACGCAGTCGCTGCATGTGGAGACATTGACGTCGCCACGACAGAGGAAGAGCCCGTAGGCACGGTCGGGACGGTTTTGGCCGGCAGTGGCGTTGGCGAAGCCGTCGGCGTTGTTGGGGGCGGCGGCGGAGAGGGAAGAGAGCAGGTTGTTGAGGTTGGATTGGTAGGTGGAGTTGGGAGCGAAGAGGGTGGTGTTGGGGCAGTAATGCCATAGATAAGTAGGTTGTGATTCAGTGCTCAGAAAATTGATGAAGAAGAAGAAGAGGAGGGAGAGGGAGACGGTGAAGCAAGAACTCATTTTCAGGTTGATGAATCCCTAGGTCTTGCGGCACGGGCACGGAATCATGGGAAGAAGAAGAGCATAGTCCCTCTTTAGTAGATATTTTTGTTGTGGGAACCACTCGGAGAATTTAGTCCGTTCATGAGAATGAATCTAGACCGTCAGATCTGATAAATAATTGCAATAAGAACAATGTTTCTACCCGTTGGATGTCCACTCTTTTTATCTTGTTTATTGATGTTTCAAATGGTCGGATCCAGTGGCTACAAATGCGAGCTAGGTGCTGGTTAAGTGGAATCATTATAGCATTAAGCTAATCACTTGGACCTTCTCATATCACCAATTTTGTTTACCATTGCCGCATTGACAAAAATATCATAGAAATTGTCCTTCTATTAACGGCAAAAGCTACCAAAACCCCTCAAGTATGCCAACTGTGACGCATTTATTTTAAATTTTTTTCTGTGACAAAAAATTCAAAATTTGTATTTGTGTAACACATTTACCCTCCGTCAAAGTTATGTCAATAAGAACTATTAAAAATTTAGCTATATGGACACCAAAAAGTAAACAATGTCTTAAGTAAAATAAAATGACGTTGTTTTGACTGAAAAATCATCTAAAGTAACATTGACGGAGGGAAAATGTGTCGCATAAGTACAATGTCGCGACCGAACTCCCGAGCCCTCTTTTAAACGACATGCAAAGAGAAGGGGGGCTCGCCTGGTACGTGTTAAGTCTAGGTTCGGGACTTAACTCGGGCTCTCCCAAGCCCATACCATATCGCGACTTAGGGTTTAAGTTTTTAACATGCAAGTGGTTTATATCAAGGAGTCGCCACTAATCGATTTGGGGTAGGTCGATTAGAAACCCAAATAGGGTGATGGGAGAATCACCCTATTCCTACGAACCAGAGATTAAATGAGTTCGGGGACTTGGTTACACTAGTTGGATAACTAATGCCCTTTCGGTACCATTTTACCCTGTTCATTTACAGAAAACATTTGTCAGGCAATTTTGATTGATTTTAGGACCTTTCTCCTAACATGTGAGGTGATCAAGCGAGTGCATAATCAGAAACGATTAGCAGTCAGGAACACAACCATTCATGCAGCCTAAGGTTCTAACCTTAACTAAGTCAGATGACATTCAAAACACAACAGCTCAAGCAATTGTATTAAAAACATGCATAACAATACAACGGTAATAAAAACTATCATGCAAAATACTACCGCGTAATCCTAGGTTTATCTAATTTAAACATGGTAAATTATGCATAATAATACTATAACAAATAAAACATTTAGAATATATCACACAAATTTAAAAAAAAAAAAAAATTTAAATTTTTTTTTTAAATTTTTTTATTTTTGTTTATTTTTTTTTTAAATTTTTTTTTTTAAAAATAAAATAATAATATAATATTAACCGGGTCGGGCGGATCCGGGTCGGAACCGACCCGGGTCAACGGATCCGACCCGGGCGTTGACCCGGGTCGGATCGGTCAATCCGGATCGGGTCGGAACCGACCCGGGTCGACGGATCCGACCCGGGCGTTGACCCGGGTCGGAACTGTTAATCCGGGTCGGTCGGAACCGACCCGAGTCAACGGATCCGACCGGGCGTTGACCGGATCGGATCTGTGATTCGGGTCGAATCCGACCGAACAAACGGACCCATGAGGAGAAGCGCTGGAGAGGCCAAAATTGGCCGTCCGCCGCCGTGACCCAGGCAGCCGCCCCAATCGCCCGACCAGGGGCCCTTGCCTCGGCCGTGCCACTCACTGAACCGCCGTCGGACCACCGTTCGCCGGCCGGCGACAGAACAAAAACCAACCTGGTTAAGGCATTTCGTCGAACGCCTGGCGGGCGCGTGGAAAAAGGGGGGATTCCGACCTCCTCCGGCGATCCGGTCGACTCCAGCGGCTTGGGTTCGCTTCAGACGGTGATCAGGGACCGGGACAGACGTCGGTATGGCCGGGACTCGCGCCGGCCGTTTCGCGCGAATCCCGGCCAAACCGAGGCAAAAAACAGGGGAAAACAGGGGAGCTTCTCGGCCGAGGGGGGCTCACCGGTCGACGGCGCGTCTGGATGGCTTCCGGCAGGTCTGGCGGTGTCGACGACCGCTGCTGGTTCTTCTTTAGCTCCGGCGTGGCCTCGGTTTGCTCTCTCTTCTCTGTTTCACTCTCTATTCTCTCTCGGTCTCTCTCGGTTTCTCTCTCTCTCTCTCTCTCTATTTTTCTCTTAAAATCGCCGACCCACTCTCTCTCTCTGTGTCGCCGTCGTCGGCTCGGCGACGGGGATGGATGGCTGAGGCGCGGTGGCTGCTGGAGGCTTCCTGTCTCTCCCGGCTCACGCTCTCCCGCTCCCTCTGTATTTTTCTAAAAAAATGGCCGACCGGGCCTCTCTCTCTCTCTCTCCGGCTTTTATAGGCGGCGACAGCGGTGCCCCTACGCTCCCGTTACGTCACGTAATGACGACAGTGCAGACCGGCCTACTGCGCGCGCGACTTTCGCGGCCATTTAGGCCGGTGCGGAGCGAGGGATCGATTCGATGTGAGGCGCGGAAGCGGACGAGCGAGGGAGGCGAGAGGGAGGAGGAGATAAGAGAAGCCGGGACAACGGGGAGGACGGGACTGGCAATTAATGCCAGTCCCTTCGGCGTGCTCTCTCGGCCTTCCTCACGGCCGGATAAGCGATGGCGAGGAGCGGCGCCGCCGTGCGTCGGTGTGACGTCGCGAACGAGGGAGAACAGGGCGAGAGCGGCCGCGAGGGAAGAAGAAGAAAGAGGTGGGCGGGCCGGGCCCACCGTGCGGGGGAAGAAAAGAAAGAAAAAAGAATGGGCGGGGCCCGGGCGGGGAAGAAAAGGAAAAAGAAAAGGGCCGGGTCGGCCCAGCCCCGACCCGCGGACCGAATTTTTTTTTTTTTTTTTTTTTTTTAAATTTTTGTTTAAAATTTAAGAAAATATGCTCTAATAGGCCCTATTAATGCACATATGCCTAATGTCTATATGCAATGCATTTAAATAGAAATATTTTTTTATTTTAGGAATTAAAGAAAATTAATTCCTAAATTTTGCGTAGTTAATTTTGGGCAAATTAAAAATAGGTGTCAACAGCTGCCCCTCTTTGAAGGTGAGCTCGCAGAGATTGAGCTCGCAGAGGTTACGTTCAAAGATAAAATGGCACCTAAATTTGGCCCATGCACGTTCAATGAATGTTATTTTTGGCGAGACTGGTGTCCCATTTTTATGATGCGATATAAGATGATGCATGCTAAAGCAAATAAAAACATACCTGGGGCTACTTACCTTGCCGAAGGGTAGAGTAATTCCAGATAGTTGATATTGTGTGTCGAGGACCCGAACCTGTCTTCGGTCGCCTTGACGGAAAAAATGGTTTGTCTAGGACCCGAACCTATCTTCGGTCGCCTTGACGGGGATTGTTTTTGTCTAGGACCCGAACCTTTCTTCGGTCGCCTTGACTGGGGAAATCGCTTGCCTAGGACCCGAACCTATCTTCGGTCGCCTTGACTGGATTTCATTTGTCTAGGATCCGAACCTTTCTTCGGTCGCCTTGGTGGGGAAATCGCTTGCCTAGGACCCGAACCTATCTTCGGTCGCCTTGGTAGGATTTCATTTGTCTAGGACCCGAACCTTTCTTCGATCGCCTTGACGTGGGGAAATCGCTTGCCTAGGACCCGAACCTATCTTCGGTCGCCTTGAGTTTCATTTGTCTAGGACCAGAACCTTTCTTCGATCGCCTTGGCTGGGAAATCGCTTGCCTAGGACCGAACCTATCTTCGGTCGCCTTGATTGGATTTCATTTGTCTCGGACCCGAACCATTCTTCGGTCGCCTTGACTGGGGGAAATCGCTTGCCTAGGACCCGAACCTATCTTCGGTCGCCTTGACTGGATTTCATTTGTCTCGGACCGAACCATTCTTCGATCGCCTTGATTGGGAAATCGCTTTGCCTAGGACCCGAACCTATCTTCGGTCGCCTTGATGGATTTCATTTGTCTAGGACCCGAACCTTTCTTCGATCGCCTTGAGTGGAAATCGCTTGCCTAGGACCCGAACCTATCTTCGGTCGCCTTGACTGGATTTCATTTGTCTCGGACCCGAACCATTCTTCGATCGCCTTGACTGGGGGAAATCGCTTGCCTAGGACCCGAACCTATCTTCGGTCGCCTTGACTGGATTTCATTTGTCTCGGACCCGAATCTACCTTCGGTTGCCTCGACTGGGGAAATCGCTTGCCTAGGACCCGAACCTTTCTTCGGTCGCCTTGACTGGATTTCATTTGATCTGTCTAGGACCCGAACCTTTCTTCGGTCGCCTTGACTGACTGGATTTTGCCTGTCTAGGACCCGAACCTTTCTTCGGTCGCCTTGACTGACCGGATTTTGTATGTCTAGGACCCGAACCTTTCTTCGGTCGCCTTGACTGACTGGATTTTGTTTGTCAAAGTACCTGAGGGTCGTCGCCCGAGGGTTTGACGGTTGCTCGATGGGTCCTCGCCAGGGTCTTGAAAAGGCTCAAACGATGAGCACACAGGGGTCCTCGCCCGAGGATTTGATTGTTTGCCTGGTGGGTCTTCGCCAGCAGGTCTTGAAAAGGCTCAAACGATGAGCACCTGGAGGTCCTCGCCCGAGGATTTAATTGTTTGCCTGGTGGGTCCTCGCCAGCAGGTCTTGAAAAGGCTCAAACGATGAGCACCTGGGGGTCCTCGCCCGAGGATTTGTTGTGAACATGGGGGTCAGTCACATGCTCAGGAGGGTGAACAACGGGGTCAATCCGACGTTCAGAGGGGGGTACCATAACAATCATAGGTACCTGGATTTTGGAACCGGCATGGGTAAAATGTACATACAGGGCACGTTCACGCCTCTTGGGGCGTGTCTCCGTCGAGACAAGTTTTCGTGCAAAGACATACGTATTCATCGGAGAAATAGACAACTGAGGCTATTCTTGAATATCGTATGAAATATCTTGACCAGCTAGTCAAGATGCTTTTCTTTTTCAAAGAAACACCATGTTTACCTTCTGGGTAGTTTGAAAAGAAATCTGATGAAATACCTGGGATTTCTTACCCGGAGGTTTGATGTATCATCTGCTGAATACCCGACCTTTTTCAGGGCATCTCTTTTGTGATGATAACGAGGGCTTTTCCAGCATCTGAATTTTCGTGTTCTATCACTGGGGATTAGAACTCTGAGCAGCAAAAGCATGCTGTG